GGGCAAAAGATGGAAACCTTTCAAATAATCCATCCTTCAAGACATGTAACAGTATTTCACACACTCATTCCAAACCACACCACGAAGCCTTCTGCTAATTACTCTCAACCCCCCAAAACGTAGGACAAACATTAATACTTATCAACAGAAGATCCCTTCCACAAAGTTGTCCTTTTAAATATTAAAGAATGAGAGCAAGGAATCAAATTATTAAGAACTTATAAAATTGGTAATAAGATCATCAGAATTAAATAGAATACATAGGCAAAAGAATCTGAACAATTAACATAAAAAGGGTCATTTTAAACGGATAGTTAGTAGGAAAAAAAACACTTCAGTCTCACTAGCATTAAAAAACTCACTAAAAAAAAATTAATTGTAGGCAGTTTGATAATTCAAAAGTTATACTATTCAGTGCTGGTAAGGTACGATGAGTCAGACACTTACATTCTGCATGTGAACTTGGAAATGGGTTCAATTCTTCTGGAAGGCTATTTGGCAAAATGTCTCAGGAACCTCAGTTCACATTCTTTGACACAGCAATTCTCAACTTCTAGGAACTATTTCATAATGTTTCCTATGAAGCATTAATAGAATTCTTTCTAAATTATATTCATGAGAAATTTAATGACGGGCTATTTGGGGATAAAAGATTACATAAATGTATGAATTTAAATTGTATACATGCCAAAATCTCCATTAGGTAAAATGTGCAAATGGGACAAAACTAAAAGGAAACACACCAAAAACTTAACAGTATAATAGTATTTTTCTGAGTTTTTTGGGTGATTTTCTTCTTTACAGTTTTCTTCACATACTCTCCATGACAAAAAAAAATGCATTAATTTAAAAATCAGAGGAAAAAAATAAACATTCCTTTAGATGGTGGCATTCTCTCTTTAAAATCTCAATAGGGGGGGCCGGCCCGTGGCTCACTCGGGAGAGTGTGGTGCTAATAACACCAAGGCCACGGGTTCGGATCCCTATATAGGGATGGCCAGTTGGCTCACTTGGGAGAGCGTGGTGCTGACAACACCAAGTCAAGGGTTAAGATCCCCTACTGGTCATCTTTACCAAAAAAAAAAAAAAAAAGAAAG